TTTTGGAGAGGCAGTGAGGGAGAATGATGGGTGAAAGACAGTAGTGGTAGTAATTACATTTTAGAATAGTTACAATGTCAGACACTTTGCTAAGCAATTTATATGTTATATTTGGCTTTCTAAAATTTTTCTGAATGTAAAAAACATTCTATTTTATGTTATCCTATATGCACATGTTTTTATGAAACAGCACCTCTCAGATTGCTGGGTTAATAATGAGGTAAAGGCTAGTGCTATAAACTAAAAGAATAATGGAGAAGTCTGGTTTTTTGGAGGAGAAATATTGGATGATAATGAGTTTGATTTTGAGTTTGATCATGAACTTTAGATGTTTCTTTCTATGTGGATCTGAGGTCAGAAGAATTATTTGGACTACAGATAAAACATTTGGGAGTAATTAACACATATGTAAAAATTAAAGCCTATAGACTGACTGAGAGTATCCGGTAAGAGAAGATAGAGTGAAAAGAAAATGAAATTTAGTTTGGAGCCTTGTGCAAATCAAATATTAGTAACCAAAGTGAGGAGGAAGAACTGAGAAAGGAGGCTGAAAAGAGTAGCCTAAGACAGAGGAGAAAATCAGGAGAGAATGTGGTCTTATGGTCACAGGATTGAAGTGTTTTGTTTGCTTATAAAGTGATGAGTATATAAGAATGGGTAATAAACCATATCAAAAACCTTTGTGAAGTCAAGTAAGGTAGTAATAATAAAAGTTCCTTCTGGACTGAGATAACATGAATGTTGGTGGTGACCTTACGAAAGTTGATCTCTATAGTGGAATGTGTAAGGGTTATAATCATGTGACTTAAATTGTATTTGATCTATGATTAGGTGAAATTCACCATCTAACATGGTTTTAAGATAATGTTCCCATTTTGGGGTAGTTAAAAGCCTAGCCTAAAATTACAGCTTGGCCCTCTAAGTCTGAGGTTGGAAGTTTGTCAACTGTGAAGGCTACTTTTCCATTGCATTAGGATATGCAAAAGAGAAGAACTGTAACACAGTGAAGAAGACAGTAAGGAGGGCCTTCTAACAGCACAAAGAACGTTTTGTGGTGGTTGGAGAATGAGGAGGAGTTGGAGGCATGGAGAGTGGAAGGATGAAGAGAGAAGAGGCTTTCATTGTACAAGATGTACATATACTGGGCCTCCCTCTCCTTTCCATGCTCATCAAGTTGTAGTGTTTTCCTTGGATGGTTATGTAGAGTTTTCCTACAGGGAACAAAATAGGTGATACTTTTCTTAGTTGCCTTAGACCTGGTCTCTGAAGTTGCAGAACACAGGGAAGCTGTTAATCAATTGTGTGATGTGACAGATTTTTAGGTTAAAGCAGATACAAGAGAGAAAGAAAAGTACTGAAGACTATTTTTTAAAATCTTTATTTATTTTTGAGAGAGAGGGGAACGGAGAGAGAGGAGACACAGAATCTGAAGCAGATTCCAGGCTCTGAGCTGTTAGTGCAGAGCCCAAAACGGAGTTTGAACTCATGAACCACGAATTCATGACCTGAGCCCAAGTCGGATGCTTAATTGACTGAGCCGCCCAGGTGCCCTGAAGACGATTAAAAATAGAAAACTCCTTAAAGAGGATCGCCTATGAAGAGAAGGAGAAGCTAGGTTTGAAATCAAGGAAGTATTCCTTTTCTTAAGGAATGGAGATACCTGTTGGTTTGCAACCTCAGGAGTTCCCTGGATGAAATTCAAATCTGGACATTGTACACCTTAGGGCAAGAAGACCAAAGAAAGAGACAGGCCACTCCAGATTGGTAGATGGCAGTGTTAGTAAGCAAGGGAATTTACATACAAGGTTTGTCTTGAGTAACTACAAAATAAGTAGATCTCTACATCTGCCCACCAAAGATCTTAAAAGTTTATGTAGAGGCCTTAAGGGGGTTCAATCATGTATACAGTCCAGATGGTCTCAGTAATACAGTGTTCTCTTAATGCTGCATCCTTGAAATGGCTCCTAGTGTGAGAACAGTGGGCAGAATGTAGAATGTACATTCCAAGATCAGGAGAGGAGGTAATGAGCCTCGAATTTCCTGGATCCAGCTGGAGAGTCAACCAGCAGACACATCCTCTGCATATCTCCTATAATAGTGAGAGAGAAAGTAGATGTATGATAATGAGAGAGAAAGTAGAAAGGAAGGGAGACATTTTAGGTAGGCTTATGGGTATGGTAGTGCAAAGTTGAGTTGGTTATCTTTGAAGGCTTCCACATTCTCTTCGACATATATAGATAAACAGTGAGATAATCTCGGGAGAAAAAGAAATGGTAAGGAGGCGAAACAGTCAACAAGAGAAAACTAGCAGTATTTCTAAGCAGGATTGATGTCCTAATTTAGTTTTTAATGGTTTTAATCTCCTTGTATGTGTGAATTTTCCTCTTAGCCCCATAGCTTGCACAGGGGAGATAGATGGTTGGCTGGATGCATCCTGGATTAGGATGTTGTGAGAGATATAACTAAAGGACAACAGGAAAATTGCATTCAATGTATTAGCAAAAGAATGACTAACCTAATGGACCACGAACACTAATTCATAGATTGGAATTACATACGATGACTTAAAGTGCAAAAGTGTATCTGAATTTTTTTAGTTCTGAACTCATTTGAGGTGGACCTCCCATTTCCGCTGAGGGTAGAAGCACAACTTTGACAAAGATAACCAAATCTTGTATTTTAACATAGTCTCTAGGAGCAAATATTCCATTAGTCCAAAGCTCAAAATTCTTTTTATGAATGTTTCTCATCATCTAAAGGTGTCTTGTCTTCATTTCTTTTTTCTCTGATGGCCTGTTGATAAAGAAGTCCAACACCAGTTGGTTGGGGGAAAAGGGCAGTTAAGTGTACTTTTTGTCCTTACTCTTCTCATTTTCTCTTTTTCCTTGGCCACTTCTCTAGCCAGAAATGCTTACCTCAGTGTCTTGTCTGAATAGGAACTACTGCCACATGATATCATTTTCTTTATGCAGGAACAATATTGTGAAAAGGGGAGCTGCTATAATAGAAATAAATAGAGGGGTGGATGGATTAATGGTCCCAATGTGGTAGGAAAACCAATGGAGCAGAAATGGCTCAGGAAACAAGATGGAAGGGTAGGAAGATGTACTTAGGGAAGGTATGTCTGAATTTAGTATTCCAAAGCTGGGGAAGTTTTGTAGGTGGAAATGTCCAGAGTATGCCTAAGGAGATGTTAGATGAGATAAACTGGTGATCTTGGAGGCCACAAGGTAGTAATGAAAGACTGGTGTGTAGTTTGGGTCATCAACATTGATTTGGAATCATCTAAGACAAACGTGGGAGTTGGAATGGAGATAGAGACCATGATCCAGAATCTTCACTTAATGAGGCAAGTATTCCAGATGGCTGTGGTAAATCGATTTTAAATATCATTTTTAGTAGAGACTCTGATCACCCTAGAATAAAATTGAAGGGAGAAAATATAGTATAGATGCTTTTTATAAGTTGCATGCAAAGAGGAATTTATAACTAGAGAGTGATCAAAAAGAACAATGTTAGAACTTTCATGCCAAAACTTGCTATAGAAGGTATAATTTCTGATGTATTCTGGAAGTTTTATCTTTGTCCCCCAAATGTCACTGTGGCATGCGGTAAATATTTTCTTCCAAATAGATAACAGGTAGGAATAGTATACTTGAGTAGTTGGATGAAAGGTACCAAAATGCCCTTCCCTCCTCTGTCCCTTTGCCTCTAATCTGGTAGTCAGCAGATTTGGACTCACTACTGTTACTGCCAATAGCCATGTCTGCTGGCATTTACATAACAGAATAGGGAAGTGAGTTATGAAAGCAGCCACTGTCATTTTCTTGTATTTTCATCACAAGGACATATTGAAATACATCCTTGGACAAAAGGACCCGGCTGAAAGTGGTTTCCAGATATCTCACCCTGCTGATTTCGATGTGAAATGCAGGAAAACAGTGGTTGTTGGGAGGTGACTGAAGAGAGAAAAGTAAATAATTTCTGGTAAATGTCAACTAGGAGAGACTTTGAAATTCACTGTTTAGGGGCGCCTGGGTGGCGCAGTCGGTTAAGCGTCCGACTTCAGCCAGGTCACGATCTTGCGGTCCGTGAGTTCGAGCCCCGCGTCCGGCTCTGGGCTGATGGCTCAGAGCCTGGAGCCTGTTTCCGATTCTGTGTCTCCCTCTCTCTCTGCCCCTCCCCCATTCACGCCCTGTCTCTCTCTGTCCCAAAAATAAATAAACGTTGAAAAGAAAAAAGAAATTCACTGTTTAATTGTGATTAATTAGTTAATTACTTGATTTAACTAGTAGCGTCAATTAGAGGAGAATTTGGTGGGTTATTTTTTTCAATTTTCAAGGCTTCATTTCTAGCTAGGTAAATTTTACCTCTTATAAAATGCATTTGCATGTAAGACTGGTTTCTTCAGTTGCTTTTTCATGAAGAATTCTAGAATTGACACTGAATAAAGTTCCATATTATGCAAAGCAATATTTTTTAAAAATATATAAACCAAAATGTTCTGATGAATTCACAGTTATCATGTGGTCTCTTTATTTACAATCTTTAGAATTTATGCTGTTTTCAGAAATTATACCTTATTACATGGCTTATTTTTTTTAATGCTAAAGGTGTTATCTAATTACACTATAATTAAATGTAATTTATCAAATAGAAATAAAGACAAAACCGGTAATCAGAGACTCTTGCTCCATTCATAGATATTCAGTGGAGGTGTATCGTGTAATTAGTTTACCAATGTTTACTCTAGAACAAGTAGAATAAAATTATCATCATTTTTCCTTTCATCATTTGACAGCACACTTGGAATTCATTTGCATAGCTTTACAATGGAAGTCATTACCCTCATCACAGATCTACTGTTGTATAGCCAGCAACGAAAAAGTGAAGCTTATGAAGGTTTAGAGATGAGAAGATGGATTTATTGTTGAATAAAAGAGTTTAAAGTTTCTTTTTGTTCTGGGATAGTTGTAAACATAGAACTGTTATGATCTCAGGTTTGGCCAGATCTCTGAGGAGAGATTCTACCTATTCCCTGTATACAATGAACTGAGGAAAACTACTGACATACGACTTACAAAGGAGATAGCTTGAGACTGGTATTGGAAACTTTGTCCCTCACCCATCAAAAGAAATAAAGGTATTCAAGTCGGAGAAGCTGGGTGGTGGGAGGTAGATTCTTCAAAGTGGGTACGCTCTGTGTTCTTCCCACTCCCCAGGGTCAAGAGTGTGTGTGTGCATTTTACGGTGGGGGATTATCTCCTTGTCTCAAATCTCTGAAGAGGCACTTCACAAGAAACTCATGGAGATCTACATATGTGCATCTGTGGTTTGGAGAACACAGCAGCTAAAGCAGGAATTGCCTACCAAGCAACTAAATGAAAAGAGTGCATTTGGGAAATACACTCACACCAATCCTGCCAGAAGTATATGTGTCCAGTCCTGCTTTTTTAACAAGAGAATTACATTCGTTTATATCATACAAGAGAATCCACTTCTTGGTTAACAACTGTCTAACTGGTTTGAGTTCAGGAAAGGTAAGTACCACTTCCCACTTCTCCATTTCCCCACCTTCGTCCCTTTTCCACTTTTGGCTTTCTGGAGTAATAGTCTCTTTTAATCCATTAATAGTGGTTAAATGCATGGGCATTGGGATCAGACTCACCTGGAATAGAGTTTTGACTCTGTCATTTGCTGACACAAGAGAAGCACTTGCAGTTTACTGAACGAATTAGGCTTCTGTTTTGTCATCTGTAAAATACAGAAGAGTGTAATGCTTACCCCACAGAATTACAATCAGTTCATGTAATTAATTAGCTCAGTACATGGCACATGGAGCTAAATAGATGTTAGCTATTATAAGGTATGTATTAAAAATGGGTGTTTGGGGGCGCCTGGGTGGCTCAGTCGGTTGAGCGTCCGACTTCGGCTCGGGTCATGATCTCGCGGTCTGTGAGTTCGAGCCCCACGTCGGGCTCTGTGCGGACAGCTCAGAGCCTGGAGCCTGTTTTGGATTCTGTGTCTCCCTCTCTCTCTGACCCTCCCCCATTCATGCTCTGTCTCTCTCTGTCTCAAAAATAACGTTTAAAAAAATTAAAAAAAAAAAATGGGTGTTTGGGATGCCTGGATGGCTCAGTCAGTTGAGCATCTAACTCTTGGTTTCAGCTCAGGTCATGGTCTCATAGTTTGTGAGTTCAGCCCTGCACTGGGATTCTTTTTCTGCCTCTCTCTCTGCTCCTCCCCTGCTCGTGCTCGCAATACATACATACATACATACATACATACATACATACATACATACATAAAGGGTGTTCACTCTCCAGTGTCCTATTGTGCCCAATCCTATCTTAAAATGTAGATTCAGGAGTTTCTCCTCTGAATTTAGTTGGGAGTCTTGTGACCTTTGTTGGTATTTTAAATTCTCAAGAGTTGCTGGGAGATGTCTGCATTGAGTACCTGAATGATATAGAATGGGAAGTCTCATATTCATCGTTATGGTTAATGGGCAGATGACAGAAGAAGCTTCTGTATAAAGTCAGGGAAATATTCCTATTCACGAATTGAGTTGGCAGAAATAGCTCTATGTGGCTACCAAGTGTTCTCACTTAAATGATTCATGAAATGACCAGCTGCATCAGTTTTCTGGAAACATTATGGGTCCTAAGCATTTGAATAGTGTCCCTTAAAGAAGTCTTCCTCCCCCCAGAATCTTTCACTGCAAAATTTTCGGACCAACCATCATACTCTGCAATTCCTTTTAGGAAAGTCAATCATTCCTGGGGTCTGAAATCTAGTATCCTCTTAATATCCCCTTCTTAACCCCATCTAAGCCAAAGCTCAATTTTTCTTTCCCCCCTCCCCCTGCCCCATAACAGAACTTGGTGAGGCATTGAAAAAGACCAGTTGTTAACAAAACAAGTATGTTTACCTTCCTGGAGGATACAGGGAGCTAGTTCATAAGGCCATGGCTTTTAAAACCACAGCTGTCCTATAGTTGAAGGGAAAAAGGAGATACTTTCACACAATACCTTTTCTTTTATGGCTCATATAGATTTACCTGTTGCAGAAAAGAAGGAAGTGAGGTGGGGGAGAGAGGAAGAGGGGAAGGGGGAGAAGAAGAAAGGTAGAGAAAATCCTTTGATTTTTCTTATTACATATATGCACACATATACACTTATAAATAGCTAGGCAGCTGTCCCCCACCGAGTGCTAGGCTCTGTGCTAAGTGCTTTGTTTCCCAGCTAATCTTGCCTGTGATACTAAAAGAATGGTATCATAATCTAGGTACATAATAGGAAATGGTATCATAATCTAGGTACATAATAGGAAATTGTGGTTCAGAGGAGTTAAATGCCTTACTTAAGTTTGCATAGCTAAGTAAGGGGTGCAAACATACATTGTCTTACTCCAAAGCCCATGCCCTTTGTACTATATACATGATACCTCTGATTACTCAAGTTCAGTTAAATTTTTTTTTTTTAATTTTTTTTTCAACGTTTTTATTTATTTTTGGGACAGAGAGAGACAGAGCATGAACGGGGGAGGGGCAGAGAGAGAGGGAGACACAGAATCGGAAACAGGCTCCAGGCTCCGAGCCATCAGCCCAGAGCCTGACGCGGGGCTCGAACTCACGGACCTGGCTGAAGTCGGACGCTTAACCGACTGTGCCACCCAGGCGCCCCAAGTTCAGTTAATTTTTATTCTTTAAGTAGAGATAACAAAAAATGGGCATTCCTCTGGGAAAAGTAACATAATAATTTCATACAGGTACTCTTGGCTTTTCCTGAAATAAATTTTCCAAAAGAAGGGGGGAAGATACATTAAACAACTAGGAAGAGAAATATAAATTTGGTTCACTTCATATTATGGCCTAAAGGTCATGTTGGTGTATATGTGTTTAATATTGAAACATATGGAATACAGTATTACCAGATATAGAACTCCCAGTATTCCCACACTTGAAATAGAAAAAAATGAATAATTTATCTGACTTCTACCCTTAATCTGCTGTGTTATATAGTATTAGACAGACATTTCATGTAATATCAAATAAAAATATTTGTTCAATAGAGGCCTTTTTATTTTAGTTTTTTTTAATGTTTATTTTTGAGAGAGAGAGAGAGAGAGAGAGAGAGAGAGAGAAATCACTTGCATAAGTGGGGGAGGGGCAGAGAGAGGGAGACACAGAATCTGAAGCAGGCTCCAGGCTCTGAGCTGTCAGCACAGAGCCTGATGCGGGGCTCAAACCTACGAGCCATTAGATCATGACCGGAAGCCAAGAGTGGGACACTTAGCCGACTGAGCTACCCAGAGGCCCCAGCTAAATAGAGTCTTTAAACCTTTAATTCCCAATCAGTTTTTGTTTTTATTTTTTTCCCAACAAAATACTATACCCAAAATTTCCATGTATTAAAATGTTGCAAAATTTCATTTTGGGGACATTATTTCTTAGATCATGAAATATAAATTATTCCTTACTATTTTATCATTCAACATTGTTGATAAATTTTAAGCAGAAATTTCAGATGCAAAGGCACATTTAAATGGCATTTAAAAACCAAACAGGACCTGTATCTTTGCACTGGTTTATGCTTAGAGCACGAAAATTAACATTTCTTATCTGTAGTTATCAGATGTTTTTTCCCAGAAGGAACAGGAGTTAATGGATTCTTATCCTACTTTTAAAAATCACAACTAAATAAATAGTTGTTGAGCTTAAGGAATGGTAATCTGTGTCATATTCCACTTTCCCCCAGGGAGCTATCCTTCGCCTATGCTTTTTTAGATAGAACTGAGTGGGGTTTTTTTGTTTGTTTTAGTTTATATAAATATCAGAAACACACAGTACAAAAATATAATGAAATGCACATGTGTAAATTACCTTATGTCAATTGTTACTTCTAATCTATATTTTTCTTCTACCTAAATTGCATAGGCACTCAATCTGGTCTATTGTGAATGTTCATGGAATAAATCCAGAGCAAAATCTAGATAATCTACTGTGGAATGTGCATATTGCAATATATTACATTAGCCAAATATCTATCAGATCCATCTTTATTCTTTTAAAATAAACTTTGTTAAGATATCACTGTCTACGTTATTTTTGAAAATATTTTTCTTTATATCTCACCTTCATTAAAATTTGCTATGATTATTATTTTGCTGTTTGACATAAGTAAGAAAGAATGTGGGAGAAAAAAAAACCTAGTATTTTTATTGGTATTAGCATGTGCTTGTACCTTGTCCAGTAGAATTCATCATTTTGATTCATATCATTTTTTGCTATTATTAAATATATAAACAATTTTCTCTACTTTGCACTTAGTTTTGTAATTCTTTCTGCCCACTTTTTGCTGACCAAAGGAGTGAGTATAGGGACAGATGATGATAGGGCATCATGAGAGTAAGGAATTTCTGGGTTAGGGCCACCACTGTTTCATCAAAAAGCCATCGAGGAATCACATTTTCATGTGACTATTTTCTAGAAATTTGAGGAGATAATAGAGATATTGCTATGGAGAGAAGGTAATTTCCCCAAAGATGCTTAAAATGGGTGTTTCATCTAGGAGTCTTATCCTTTACATATTTAGGCTAATGTGTTTACATTTAAGATCTCTTCTCTTGTCAATATTCATGTTTTGGTTTTAGCACCTCTCCCCCAGAAAAGTAGAAATAAATCGCTGCAGTCCGTTTTCAATTTCCTGGAGGATTTAGAAATACTTGACACCAGATACTTAAATCTCAAAATACTGCACATCGAGCTCAGCACTGCCTGTAGGAAGGAGGTTCTGAGGCAGCTGTCTAAAGGTGAGTGGGTGAATGCTTATTGTCTTCTCTCTTCTAGACCACAAAGTCCAGAAGCAGGGTCTTAAGCTTTTTCTCTTGGTGTCTAGGACAACTTGGGGGCTCATCCCCCCACCTCAAAGTAAGCACTCCAGCTAACAGGCAAGAGAAACAGTAATGTCACATTGTGAGCTAACTCTAGCTTTGTTTATTGTCTCTCTTGCTCTAAGAGCACACACTGCTACACTATTTTTACAAAACTCTAAAGTAACATGATTGGTTGGAATGGGCACTGAAAACTGATCTTACTCCTCATGGATTCCTGTCTTCCAAATTAGAGTCAAGGTTAAAATAACCCAGTGCTGATCATCATATCATCTAAGGCTGTCTAGACAAGGTAAAAATGTTCTCATCAGCAGTTTTGCAGACAAGAAAAATACAGGTTTGTGTAAATTGCTGGCTCAAACCTTTTGTGGTATGATTACAAAATGAGAACTATGATTTTATTTCTTATATATTTTACAGGAAGTAAAATGAGGGAGTGAAAGCCATTTTATGGAATCTGTTCCATGGAGCAGGAGACTTGTCCAGAGTTCTTTGTGTTGAGGATGGAAGTTGAAAAAAAAATCTAGACATGATCAATTCGAACTGTAGTGTACAGGTTCACTCTTCATTCCAGCTCATATATCATCTTTCTGTCATTCTTTGCTGAGCTCCTACTGCTTTGAGGTCTTTTAAAATAAAGATATATTTTTTTTTATATGATCGGGAAAATCCTTTGTCTCAATTTTCAGTTTCTCCATAGCAAATTTTCTTCATTTGCTTTTTTATTCTTGTTTCTTCCTTCTATGTACTAGAAGTTTTTGACATAGATCCTGTGTTGGATCCTTTTTGATTCTGTCTCAACTTGAAAAGACATGAAATCATTTCAGATAAAAAGTATGTAGGAGGGTATGTGGTGTGTGTGTGTGTGTGTGTGTGTGTGTGTGTGTGTGTGTAACCACGCATGTATGTGTTTAATTCAGGCTACAGGAACTCTCTGTTCCTGGGTCATACATGTGAGTTAATCAATCTTTTCCTGTACTTCAGCTGACTGAAACAGGCAGGTGGGGCTCTCACTTGCTCTCCTTTACCTGCAGTGTGTTTGGCTGCAAAAAAACAGACAGCCTGTGCAATATCCCATTCTGGTCATTTTCTGATCCATGTCCTGCCACAGGGTGTCCATTGGCTAATGTTGGTTATTATGGTTATTGCAAAGTTCTTGTGTGTTTTTTATATCATTAATGTAATGATTTTTAAATGTACTGATTATGTCACTGGGAATTGCATAAGTTTGGAATGCTGTGGTTGTTGCTTTGTTCAGGACCTTTATGCAAAAATCAGGTCCCCAAACATTCAAAAAGTGTTCCCCTGAATAAAAGTATCCAATTATAATTGAAGTATATAGTTTTATTTTTATTATATTTTTTAAATATTTATTTTTGAGAGAGAGTGGGCGCGCGTACGTGCACGCACACGTACATACACGCACGCACACACACGCACGCGCACATAGGGAAGGGGCAGAGAGACAGAGGGAGACAGGATTCTTAAGATCTGAAGCAGGGTCTGTGCTGACAGCAGACAGCCCGATGCCTGGCTCGAGCCCATGAACCCACAAACCCACAAACTGTGAGATCATGACCTGAGCCAACGTCCCACCCTTAACTGACTGAACCACCCAGGCATTCCTGAAGTCTATACTTTGAAAAATAAAAAAGACCAGCGACTGTCTTTTGAAAAATAAAAAAGACAATAAAAGCGACTGTCTTTTGAAAGGTAGCTCATAGGTTCCTGTGTGGAAATATGAAGCTTCTGTAGCTAACAAATAGCAGAAAGTGAACGACTTGTGCTGTTATAAATTTAAATTACTTTCTCAAATCATATGGGTACCAATTAAGTACGTCGGAAGTTTGTGATGAAAAGCAAAGATCACTAACCTCTTCTGTCCTAATCCTGGTCCGTGGGTCAGAGGAAATCTTTTTATTCTATTTTAATTTTTAATTTTTTTATTTTTAAATTAAAAAAATGGGAACGCTTCACAAATTTGCACATCATCCTTGTACAGGAGCTATGCTAATCTTCCCTGCATGGTTCCAGTTTTTAGTATGTGTGCTGCTGAAGCAAGCACCAGAGGAAATCTTTTTAAATTGTTGTTCTGTTAGTGATCTTAACTAGATAATATGATCAGATCTCTATTCTTTGCTTTACCAGCTTAATAAAGTATTGATTGTTTAATATGAAAAGTCATTTTTATCTTACCTGTTACTTTTCAGACATTATTCTGAGAGTACAGGTTGGGGCAAAAATTAGCTTGGAATCAGGTGGAGAGGGAATAGGCACAAGGGAGTCAGAGACAACGCAGTCCTTAGCCGTGGTTTTGCTTTCCACAGCTTCAGTTACACAAAGTCAAAGGCAGTGGCGAAACAGGTGCTCCTACTCCTGACAGATTATCTGAACGTCAGTAGTCATCGACATCTACGTCACCACCCCTACATCATTCCCCTCACTTCATCTGATCACACAGGCATTTTATCGTGTCACATCATCACAAGAAGGGTGAGTACAGTTGGTTAAGATATGTTGAGAGAGAGAGAGACCACATTCACGTAGCATGTTGTTAATAATTGTGGTATTTTATTTTTGGTTTTTGTTAATCTCTTACTGTGCCTAACTTATAAATAACTTTATCATAGGTATCTACATATAGGAAAAAACTATATACAGAGAGCTCGGTATTATCTGCGGCTTCAGGCATCCCGTGAGGGTCGGGATGTATACCACTACTGTATTGTCAATTTTGTGGAGGTTAGCTCTAAAGGGGACTGGAAAAAAGATCTGTAATTAGAGGGATGTGTGGTTGAGAAAGGCTTTTGTTTTAATTTGTTTCATTAGGATGAGAGAATTTATATGTTTGTAAGTCAGTGGGAATGATCTAGGAAAGATGGAAAAAGTGTTTAATTTGTGCCAGAAACATTCTTAGCACTGTATCTCTATCTATGTCTATGCCTTGGTCTAAAAATATATTTTATTTCTATATGTATATATTCATTGAATTCTTGCAATAGCTCTGAGATATTCTTATTGTACCCATTTTACAGATAAGAAACTTGTGCAACTGACAAGTTAGGCAATAGTCTCAAGATTACAAAACTAGTAAGTGGCCATGTTAGGATTCAAATTAGAATGTCTGGATTAAAACAACAGAGACTTAATCACGGTGGTCTTCTGCCTCTGAAGCTTACTTTAGAGTCCCACTTTCGCTTTCTTCAAACGAATTATTTCAATAGTTTTAAAGTATACTATCTGGTGTCATGACTGGGGTAAAGTCTGGCTGTCTGTGGAGAGGTTCTGGAAGGGAAGTTAGGTTGCTGACTGGTAAATTTATTTTATGTAATATTTTTAATGAATCTCCCTGTTTTCAGTCTTATTTCTCACTTTGGTGCTTTGTTACATCAGTTGACTTTAAGCCCAAATCCTCCCCAGGTTACTTTCAAGTGAATGTTTTCACACCGAGTCAGCAGTATTTTTATGGCATATTCTAGCCTATAGTTTTTTCCCCTGTAGTTTTTCCTTTGTCAGTCTGTTCACATACAACTTCATCTTTGAAAAGTTTGTTGGAATCTCTTTTATAATGTAATGCACCTCTCACTCTTTTTTCTGGCATGAAATTATTTATTTTGTACTTCAGAATCTTTCAAGAGTAATTGGAAAGGTGGATAAAAAGCAAACACATGTTTCCAGCCTTCATCTTAAGTTGGAAGTGAAAGCATTGACTCATTTTTTAAAGAGAGATGGATTGGTTAAGTATCTTTTGAGTTTACTGATTTCAGTGTAGTGTTGAAGAACACAAACTTAAAAAGACTTGTTTCAAACCAGCTCTACCACTTACTAGTCACTTTAACCAAATACTTCACTTCACCACAGTTACCTCAAGAGTACAATCGTTCAAACTACTAATTGAGATGACAAAGGATTGACATTTAGCATAGAATACATTCCATGTTAAGTGCTTAATGAATACTAATTACAATTTTTTCTTAGGTAATAGTAAGATCCTGATAGAGACAGAGCAGTATGGGTTACTTGGTTTATATTATTGGTATGATCACTGTCATTATGAAGTATGACATACTTGAGGCCTACAGTATCATAAGTGATGCAAATATAAAGATAGAACAGTAAAACTTGGTTTTGTATAAATATACTTAAAATAGTTGTTGCATGTAACATTATATATTATTTTTATGTTATAACAGGGGTAATATTTTCCTTCAAGAGAATATTTCCAATTTTTATAATGCCTATGCATAATATAATATTTTATTAACAAATTATTTCACTGGGGTTCTATATTTCTTTTCTATAGATAAACATTTTTTATTTATATAGTTTTTTAAAAGGAAATACTGCTGAATATAATATATATTTGAAATATAAAAGCAGCTTTCAGCTTACATAATTATCTTTTAGTATACATATTATATAATTCTAATATATAAAAATATATTCTAATAAATATTTTGTTTTTATGTCTTATACATACATGTATAAGTACATATATCCTAGGCAAAGGGCCTTGTTATTCACTACATTTCTGCTTCCTTAGTCAGACAAAAATTAATTCTAGCTAACAGAATGCTAGATGATTATTACCTTTGAGAGTAGAAGAACCTTGCTTCTCTTTGAAGTTCTAAGTCATTTATCACTATATGCTCGGGGATAATTCTGAGACTTTGTACATTACATAAAATGACCAGAAATACACACTAAAGGTCGTCTGTTTAAGAAAAAAGGGATATATAAGTATATGAACAGTGGCCAATTCACCATTCGAATTTCATTTTCTCTATTCAAAACATTATCGTCTCAACTTACAGGAGCTATGACTTTATTATGACCTATTACCATGTCTATAGTAGCATTGGAAACATTTTGTGTTTAATGTCATTAACTTTTAGAATTTTTAGTTTTCACTTGAATGAATGAATGAAAACATGAATATTTTTACATAATTTATCAATTGCCACAGCTAAAATAGTATATGGATTTAGAAACTGTATATTGCACGTTTTTCTTACCTTGCTTGATCTCTTTAACATTTGTCACATTTGACAACATTTTCTATAGAACTTTTTTTTGAACTCCCAATTTTTGCTCTTTTCCTAGTTTTTTTATTGTCCTGTATTGTTAGATCTTCTTATGCCCTTTGATTCTTTTTACTCTATATCTTTTTTGGGGAAAACTTATCCACAACAGATTCATCTAGAAACAGATTCATCACTAGAAAACACTAATAGCTACTATCCTGTATACCCTGCTCAGATCTGTTTCCTAAAGTATTTATCTCTATCTCTATGCATCTATCTATCCCTATCTATCGTCTATCTATCTATCTATCTATCTATCTATCTATCTATCTCTCTATCTACCTATCTATCTATCTATCTATCTATCTCTCTATCTACCTATCTATCTATCTTATTGCCAGCTGTTTCACTGGATATGTCTGCCTGAATATCTTGGAAGGTATCTAAAACTCGCCATGTTACAAACTAACCTTATCTATAGCCTTCTCTATGCAAAGGCACTCCCTATTTACTCCCTACAACATGCACAATGCATCCAACAACAACCTCTGAATCTACTACTTCTGTCAGTTAACAGCAGTATCATCAAACCAGTTTCCCAACTAGTAGATCCAAGGTCTTTTCAGTTCCCTCCCCACCCACCCCCATTTTTAAACTTTTAACTTTCACTTTAAAAAATATCAAAATGATCGTAACTTTCTTTAAATTTATCACCAAATCATTTTGATTTTATATTGAAAATATTTTCTGAATGTCTTCTTATTGTATTCCATTCTGATCACCGCTTTTCAAATCTTTATTACCTTTTGCACCCCTTATCATATTTCTTTTTATCTATCTATCTATCTATCTATCTATTCTTAAAATCATATTATGAGGCAGTCACTATACCAGGGAGATAGTCAGGGAAGCCTTCTCATGTGGTAACATTTATAGCAGCCATAATGGGAAGATGAGCGGGAGCCTAACTATTCTCACATCTTCTCTCCCCTCCAATGATGCTTCCCATCGTCCATTCTCCACAGTGACTTAAGATCCAACACAGGTCCTAAAACACACAAATTGCTAAAATGGTCAAATTTAGAATTCCAGTTACCTATGACATAAAATCCAAATTCCTTCAAGGCATACCTTTGCCTTCTTGGCCAGCATGGATTATTTCCTATTCACTTCTGTACTGCAGAGGACAAAGAATTTGGATTCTCCAAGAAAATCTAAACAAAATACAATATGAAAATCGTTATTTATTACTGTCTTTGCATGTGCCTTAAATGTCCACCTTCTCTTGTCTGCCTAACTCATCCTTCAAGACTCATCTAAAGTATAACCTCAGTGAAGTTTTTCTGAGAGAATTAAATTCTACTCTATGCTCCCACATTCCCTCAGCCTCCAGAAAATACCTCTATTATACCACCTGTCACATTAAAATTCAATCATCTTTTACATGTTTGTTTACTCAGGTCGATTGAACTTATTCAAGTCAGGGACTGAGATATTCATTTCTGCTATTTCTGGCACCCAGCTCAGTGCCCGGCATATTAGGTATTTAATACAAATTTGATGAATGGATAGATGGGTAAGGAGATGAATGACAAAAATTTGCCTCTTTCTAAAAATAATTGCTTTGAGTATACCATTCGTCTTGCTCACATTTCAATGCCAACAGTTTAAAGAGATTTCAATGACATGACTTTTCTGACCCTGGAAATAAATTTCTATATTTTACAACTCAAACACAAAGAGCTAAAAAAAAAATTCTCAAGTTTTGCATTAGATTCTTTTACATTTTTAAGATTTGATACGTGAAAGGAGAGCTTAATGGAAATTCAAAGTGGGTTTGAAAGACATCTGAGTAGTTACTTGTAAATAAGAACATTCTGTTTATCTTCTTCTACTTCACTAAGAAAAGAAAAGAAAAAAAAAAGACAGCAACACTGGGGAAAAATAGATCCTGCATTTTGAATCACAACAAACAAAACTAATAAACAGCAAACCACAGGGACCTGTCAGCTGAAAGGAAGATTCAGCGTTCATTTTATAAACAATTCACTAGTGTGTCAACAGACATTCTGACAGGGAAAGAAAGTGAACAATACTTTTCAAAAAATATCTATTTTGTTGAATAAATCTTGAGCAAAGTATTGTGTGAGCTGTATTGATTGAGAGGTAGGGCCATGCAAATGTGAAGAAGCTGTAATTCTTTTGTTGAGATACATTTTCTTTCAAATTTGAAAATTATTGCGGTATCATTAATATTACCCCCTTTTCTATAATAGAACGTGTGAGTAGATGTTACAAAAGATTATTTTCTTTCTAATAATGAAAAGAGTTAGGTATGGTAATAGAAATATTAAGACACATGCAATTATTTTCATATGAGCAGCACAGTTCTCATGATAACAGAAAGAAGTCATGAAATTAAAAACAGATTAGGATTATTAGCGTGTCGACCAACTGATGTAATTATCC